AGAAATAAGATTCTCTCCAACCATAACTCTGCACATGATGGATGAGTGGCACCCTCCTTAACCAGCCTGTGTTACTTTGACAAATGGGGCTTTAGTCTTTCTGTTAATATGTCGCTCAGCTCATTGAGCAGCTGGAGGTTGAGAGAAGGAACTGATGTCATTCACTAACCTAAAAAAAACAACAGTTTAGATGTATTTGTTTAAGGTGACTTTGCACAACTGCAGAAAATAGCAACAAGGTTAGAGAAGCTGGTGTTTTAAATACGTGCATGGAAAATAATGTTCTTACTAAAAGAGAAGTAGCTTTAATAACCAGTGTGCACGGTCTGCACTGCTGCCTTCAGTAATTCTGATCCCTGAAGAAGAAGAATCCTTTGTTCTGTAATCAGACTTTAACATGTTTCTTTGACTGATCATTGTATCTGTGCAAATGGACTGTAATCCAATGATACAGACCCTAAACACACAAAACACAAAGCCCCGGTGCTGCATCATGCAAACATGAATGTTTTATGCTCTCACTTTTTTTTCTGTCTCACCACTGAAGGGGTCTGTGTAATAGAATTGCTCTCTAATGGAGCAGGAGGCAGATACAGGCTTCATCCAACGTGCTTTCAGGAAATGGACCTAACAGAATTCTGCGAGCTGCGCTATCACATCTGTGACAGCGGTAAGAGTATTACAATTGAATAACTGATGCTTTTTAGATGCTACGAATGTGGCCGGACAAGATATTCTGTGTGATATGTGTGAGGCTCCGCTTCGGGTGAAACAAGTATTTACAGTTGCATCAATGATTTGATATCAACCAGAGCCTCCTGACATCATAATACTGTGGGTATCTATTGTATTCACAGAGCTTCCACATGCACGTTGGCTGCTCAGTATCTATTCACTGTACAGAGCTCCAGTGTGTCTGAAATTCAACCCCAACGCCCTTGAGCGTGGCTCGAGAACCCCGCTGATGGACAGAAAGAGGTGAGAAAGCTAAATTTATCTGACTGATAGGAGAATCGCACCCGTTTCTCCCCAGAGAGAGTCGTGTGCGTCCATCTGCACTGCCAGCTGTTCGTCTTTCAAGTCCAGCAAGCTCCTCACCACCTGCAGGAAAACACAATTTCACAGTCCTCTGTATTGTTGGCTTGCTGTGCAAAAAAAAAAAAAAAAGCTTCCACAGACCTTGACCACAGCAGAGAGCAAACAGAATTTAATAAATCTTTTACATCAAGAAAGGACGGGCGTCATGCTCCACATGAACAAACTCCTCTCAGCAGAGTGGCACAGATGTCATTAGGACGTTGATCTGATGCGTACCTGTGTGTGTCCCACGCTTGCTGCAGCCGTGACCGCCTGCTGGGCTGCCTGTGTTCTCCCAGTCTCTGTCTGGCTGCTGTTGGGCTGCTGGGGGTCAGCGTTGCTCTCCGCTCCCCAGTCCTGGCCCAGCAAGATGTTGATGATCTCTGCGTGGCCCTTCAGCCCAGCGTGGACCAGTGCACACTGGCCGTTCTTATCAGCGTGGCCCACCTGGCACAGAGGGGCAACACAGAAGGACTTAACAAACGCTGAACCAGGCCAGTGCCTTTATTACTCTGACCTAGATCAGTCCTGTTTGTGTCATCTGTCTCCCAGAATAGATCCCCGAACTGTGCTGAGTGCTGAACATTGGGGTTTTGGGGGATATCATTGTTTTGAAGGTGCAGAGAAACGAGTGTTACACCATTGTGATTATGCACCACCCCCCCCTCCCTGCACAGACACTGACCTTGGCTCCTTTCTTGCAGAGCAGGCTGACGATGTCGACGTGTCCTGCGGCGGCGGCCAGGCAGAGGGGCGTCATGCCGCTGTCAGTGGTCCCATCCACAGGAGCCCACATCTCAAGCAGCAGAGCGACCATCTCCAAGTGGCCCAGGTGGGCGTGGACAGCCAGGATGGGGGCACGACCCACCACCTCTGTGCACCAGGTCACACTGGCACCACCCAGCATCAGCAGACGACTCACCTGCAGGATGAATATAATGAGTTGTGTATCTCTGTGTAGAAGATTATTATTTCCATGATAGAAGAAACAATGAAGAAAACGGTGGCCACTTTTTCAAATGTAAAAAAAAAAACTCCATACTGCTCGTGTGATGTCATCAGGTGTGTTTACGTTTGACGAAGTGGTCACCAGAACTTCATTGATTTGGATTTGGCTGCAGCGCTGTTTAGCCCTGAGACTCCGAAAGTGTTTTGTGGACTCAGACACTTCGCCCACCCTCCATCGGCATAGCGGTGAGTGGACAATGAGTGAATTTTCATTTTTTTGAGAACTATCCCTTTAACATTGCGAGATCACATCACCTCTACTGAATGCCACTCTAGTATATTTGGTTTTCTTCAGCGTGTGTGTGTGTGTCACCTTGATGTTGGGTGTGTACAGGTTCCTCAGGGAGGCCAGCGCAGCGGACAGACTGTCTGTGCTGCAGTTCACCCACATGGCCTGAAGAACGCTGGAGGACACGCCCGTCTTCTTACTCAGTCCCTGTGAGTGTTTGACAGAGACACAGATGAACAGAGAGATTGAGAGAGAGAGAGAGAGAGAGAGAGAGGAAGAGATTAAACTTGCTCAGATGAGATCTGTGGAGCAGAATTTGAATTGCGTCCCAGGAGAAAAGCAGTATGTACAGATTGCGAGGTGCACATGCAAACAGTATAACATTCACTGTACTGTGGGCGTTTTATGTATATGAGTAGTGCTA